GGACTAACATATGGTTTAATTTTATTTTAATAATTCGCTTGCGCGTAGGGGTCTTTAGCAGTGGGAGGAAACCGGAGGACCCGGAGAAAACCCACGAGGTTGGACGTAGGCGACCCTACTCCTTGTCACGTACAACCGGGGATTCGAAACCACGCCAGTTGATTCAATGACAGGCTTTATGATACAGCGCGCACGTGCTAACCATTCAGCCATCCAACCCCACCATTTTATTTGCAGGTCAAGCAATCTGATTAAAACACATCCTATTTCGTTTCGGTTTTTTTTATACCAAAATGTCGTTTTACTTGTCTTTATTACACTGGGATCTGTACCATTGGGTGTTCTGAATGGCTTTCTGAATTATAGCCAATGAAACGGTCTGTTACGGCTAGCTTAGGCATGTTTTGCATGGAACTGTGGGTAATCCACTAGTAACATCAATACTGATTGGTTAATAATGTCTGGCGTCATAGGGTCAAAACCTGCTCGTACCTAGTGGTTTCCGTTGTCCTAGTGAGTAATCAACAATAGTCGCCCTACACTCCCTGAAAATTTCAAGTCTACGACCACGGTCGAGGTAGGCCTACTAGCAGTGCGAAAGTTCAATAGCGACAAAATGTTGCCTACCCCCCCCCCCCCCCCCCCCTGAACGGTCGTAGGCCTACTGATCTCGGAGTAGGTGGTCGATAAAATTCCCCATTTCCGGAATATTATATAGTCTAATATTCTAAACATACGTGAATCACTCAAATATCATTTAATAATAATGAGCGTACGAGCCAGGGGGGCGGGGGGGGGGGCAGCTGCCCCCCTAACTTTCGGGCAAGCTGACTTTTCGGGCAGACGGGTAAAGTGAAAAAAAACTTTTTATTTCATCTACTTGGCAAAATAAAGTGCCCGAAATCTAATAAAACACTAATTTTACGGACTGGAATAGCAGTAAAACGCGTTTGCGGCCCTCAAATATTCCAAAATGTTCTTGGGGGGTCCATACAAGGTCCATAAACCGGCGCCGCTGTCTGTAAACCTGAAATTTTTTCGGGCATTTCTAGTTTTGCTCTCCTAACTGTCATCGAGCCCTAATAAAACACTAATTTTACTTTTATTTTAATTGAATACCACGAATTTGTACTGAGTTGACTATGGTAGGGTGACCCACCATAAATAAATATCTCCATATATCTCGACAATTTCGCCACAATATTTATATATATGCCAAGCCTCAAATCAGTTTCACACAATTATAGTCACTAAATAAACGATCATGTTGTACTTAATAAGCTATGAATATTAATCATCTATAAATAATAGACTGAAAACTGGTTCCATGTGTCGTCCATAACATCCAGACACTTTTGAGTAAAAGATAGGTTACGTGCCCTTGTTTTGAAATTAGAGTCGCTTAACCAGTCTATCGACCATTCTAAGGCTGATTGACAGGTCGGGATAATCAAGACTACATTTTTACGAAACATAATAGAAAGCTAGAACAAGAAATTGAATTAAGAAATGAGCACGTTAGCTAGCTCAACAATTGTTTTAAGAAGCTTGTAAAAGTAAAATGAAACTACTGCTAGTATCATGTTCCTGTCTAACCCGAGTGTTTCAGAGATAGTATTTGTACTAAACCAAAAGATGCCGCTCTTAACGGTACAGTTAATGATAAAGCGATATAAAAAATGAAACGAACGTAATTTCTAAATCTGCTGTAATAACCAAGAAGCTTAATTTTACTGCTATTCAAAATCGTCAACAATAAATTTTTTACGGCTGTAATAGTTGATAGATTTGTAGAGAATTGCACGTGCCATGGCTATTTATAGTATCATACTGTCAGAAAGTTGGCCTCGACACGGCGAATGTGCACGCTTCAGTGGTAGTCTCGAACTATCAGCGGTTGACTGTATTTCTGTAGGTGCATGGGCCACCCTAACTATGGATTAAAACATTTTGTCTAGAGCCACTCTACTTTGTGCGACATTTTTCGGGCATCGATTATTATTTGTGAATGCAGCTGCAACAGTCTGATTGGATGGTTGGAATTCAGAATAGGATTTCGGTTACAAAACCATTGGATACTTTTGGAGTTGCTTACACGGGCTAGAATAGCAGAAAACGCATATGCGGTGGTTAAATTTTCAAAAATTTCTCCGGGAGGGTGAGGCCCCCATACCCCGCGACGATTGGTTGGTTGTTTGAAATTCGGGTCAGCCAGACAGGCTATATTGGACCAAATTAAGTTGCTGCAATGTATTCACAGGCCGCAATAGCCGGAAAACGCGTTTGCGGCAGTTAAATTTTCAAAATTTTCTCCCAACGGTCCCGTCTCTGTAAACGATTGATCTTTTGATTGGAATTCGAGTCAGCCATCTTAATTAGCCTATATTAGACCACTTTGAAGTTGCTTTGTTCACGGGCTGGGGGAGCGGGGATCCACACAAGGTAAGCTCCGATTCTTCGCCTCTCGAGGAAGACCGCGCCGCTGTCTGTAAATCCGAAATTTTTTCGGGCATTTCGGGTTATGCCCCCCTAACTGTCATCGAGCCCGTACGCCTATGTAAATTAATATGCATATATATGTCATATATAAGAAGATATTCTTAATTATATAATACAATCATTTAAATATTGCATGTAAATTAATTGAAATAAGTACGTCAAATTCTTATTGCACAGCTCAGGCGCGGATCACGGGGGGGGGGGGGTCAAACTTTCCTATACTTAAATGAAATGGTTACTCTAATAGTAAATTGATACTGCTAATAAAGCTTGTTAAGAACAACCATAATATGGTTTCTGAAGATATTTTGTTCCTCACCTGTGAAGGGAGCATTCCCCATCAACATTTAAAGGACATTTTATGCGATTTTATTGGCGATTTTTAGACCTGTAATTTTGGAATTTACCTTCCGGAAATACGTCAGAATGCACCAAATTGAATCTAATTTACCAAATTTTTCTGGGGGAGGGCCCAAAGACCCACCTTTACAAAGTTTAGCGCCTTCGGCGCTCGCGGCGGTGGGCTACACCCACCGCAATTAGTTAAGCAATTATCCAACCTAGACCCCCCCCTGCAAAAAATCCTGGATCCGCGCCTGTCCAGGCCGATTGGATTCTAGGCCTATATGTTACACAGGGTGGCGAATTTCAAATTTCTGGGAATAAAGAAATATAGGCCTACTCAATCAAATACCATTTATTTTATGGAAATTCATTGAAAAAAATAATACCCCCAAATCTTTAAAACATTACAAACAGACCCACTGCACAGCAAGGCCGAATGCGTATGTGGTATAGTGTGATGAATTTCACTATTTCTGTGATATATATAAAATACTTTTCTTAATTTATATAATAAAATTACCCAAATATTTTTTTTCTATGAAAATTAACCGAAAGAAATACTTTAAAATCTTTCAAACATAATAAAAAGACTCACTACATAGCGAGGCCGATTGGGTTCAAAATGTGATGACTGCATAGCAAGGCCGATTAGGCTCTATACGCGGTATTGGATGATGAATTTCCATATTTCAGGGATATATAGGATAATGTGCTTAATAATATATGCAAAACACTCGAAAGAAATATTATTTTATGAAAATCAATTGAAAAAATACTCCCAAATCTTTCAAACGCAAAAAAAAGTCTGACTGCACACTGCACAGCAAGGGTAATTGTATTCTATTTGTGATATAGGGTGATGAATGTCACTATTTCTGAGATATACAGGATAATACTTACTGAAATATATTTTTTTTAAATATAAATTAATCGAAAAATACCCAAAAATCTTTCAAAATAAAAGAAAAAGACTCACTCTACAGCGAGGCCGATGTGCGATAAATTCCGCTATTTCGTGGATGTCGAAGATGCTATGGATATGGGTAGGCGTATGCCTGTCTTCATTAGCCGATTTTGTTGAAACTTGAAATGTAAGTTTATAACACAAAGATCTCCGTTCCTGTCGATATTTGCGCATATCGAATTGTAATTTCCTGAATTATGGCCCTTGATTGTAGGAAAAATCACTTTCTTTTTAGCTTGTTCTCTATCCATCTCTCGAAAATGTGGGCATATCCTGCCTGGCAGCCGCTGGTTTCGGTTATGAAACATTTATAATAAATTAAAATCTGATTTTAAAAGAGTAACAACTCATTAAGTAATTATCAGAAAACCATTAGAATTTGTTTGGTTTTTATAAAGTTCTGTCCCATGCTACCGTTTAGTATACGAAACTTTTAACATCATGGATTTAGCTGTTTCAAGTCATAAAGATTCTGTGTATCAATCTGAAGTCAATCGGATGACAACTTTAGCCTCTAGAGCGTCACACGATTTTTCAAAGTGATCAAGGGCTATAACTCTGGCAGTAATTATCCGAAATCGTTGAAAATCAATATCTCATGGCCTCAAACACTGTGTATAAATTTAAAGTCAATCGGATATTAACTTTAGCCTCTAGAGCGACCACAAGATTTTTCAAAGTGATCAAGGGCCATCGGAAATCGCTGAAAATCAATAGGATTCTTCATCTCATGACCTTAATCACTGTGTATACATTTAAAGTCAATCGGATATTAACTTTAGCCTCTAGAGCGTCCACAAGATTTTTCAAAGTGATCAAGGGCCATAACTCTGGCAGCAATTATCGGAAATCGTGAAAATCAATAGGCTAGCGCTTCTTCGTCTCATGACCTTAAACACTGTGTATAAATTTAAAGTCAATCGAATATTAACTTTAGCCTCTAGAGAGTCCACAAGCAATTGTGGACGCCGGACCGACGGACGGACTGCGGCGACAACAATATACGACCACATTTCAATGTGGGCGTATAAAAATGATCCAACATATAATCATAAGGAACAGGTGCAGGAACATCCAAATTCTCATTTTAACCGCTTCTAGTACTATACATAATTTTCAGGCCGTATATCGAACTGTCAATCAAATTGACTGACATTAAGCGGCCTCGCTCTAGAGCGGTCTCGCTTCGTAGGATCTATCAGTATCATTTACCAACACCTTGCACCGCTCGGATGTTTTGAGGAGATAGTGAATCGTGCGGATTTATTACGTCATTTCGAACGTGTATGTCAAATTTACATCTATAAACGCCGAAATTCACGACGATTTATTCATTTATGTTTAAAATGGAAGGTAGACATTCTCTTAGGTTAGGAATAACAAAATAAGACCGACAGTGCCAAAAATTGCCCTTTTTCTTTTTCAGTAGTTCAGACTAAATAAATTGTACATTTTCTATGGAAGATCAACGTCGCCTATATTATTTCAACATTCTCTGCAAACTGCATATGTCAGCAGTTCAAAATACCGGTACGTATTTTAGTTTTACAATTTGCAATATCCATTGTTCCACAACGCCAATGTCACAGTAATAAAATAGGCCTACAGAATAGGCCTACATTTTTCAATAGTACAAAATACCTTAGGCTTACAGTTACAGTATAATGATACTAGTTATATTTTTGCATATTACATTACACTTTTCCATTCTGCAATTTGCATTAGGCCTATAGGCATAGACATAGGCGTACGGGAAAATTTTTTACTGGGGGGGGCGGTGGTGGTTGGTGCCCCAAAAATGTAGTTAGGTTTCGTAGTATGTTACATAATAATCATAATATCTCTTTTGCGATGAATAAGTTCTTAATTTCTAAATCATCAATAAAAGAGAACTAAATTTTATTTACTTGTAATATACACAACTAAAAACAGTTGTCTATGTAACTATAATTTGTGGCTTACTGTACTCCAAACAATAGAGGGTTCGAGTTTTAAGATTTCTATTTAAAGGAGCTAAATCGCTAACATTTGGGACCTAGAAATTCACAAAAGTGGGTCGCAACGCATATAATACTGTATTATGAATGTATATAAACTGATTTACATTTAATGGTTTCCGTTTTTACTCCAATTTCAAATCAGTTATGTTCGGCGAAATAAGTCAGCAATCTCAATCGAGTGCAAATTTCTAGCGTCTAGTTATTCTAGTCTACATAACTCCATTTGATTTGGTGCAATGTGTCTAGCCTCGTCCCTCGAGTCTCTCAATACAACTGGGGCTGAAGCGCATTATGGTACACGATTCGTGTACCAATGTTAAAAAAATTATTTTATCTTAAATATCAGATATCAGAAGCTCATCTTTTCCCGGTAAGTTGACATCATCAATGTTGATTTAAATTGACCAATAATTCGTGTTTTCGATGTCGAAGATTTTGGAGGATTTTGAGTTACGGACTTAGGTCCTTTAATTGCCTAACTATAGACACTCTGAATTTAAATTCGCTGTTAAATTGGACGCATTCAAGAACACAATATTTTTTTATACAACTTTTACAAAGTACAATTGTGTGCCCAAATTTTCCCAGCATTTGGTGCCCAACACATTAGAACATAGACTTTATAAGGAATTTATGACAAACCTCATTTGCATTCGGAAAAAGTCAGGACTAGGACAAAAATTACTGTCTGAACCGTGGTAAATTTTAAATGGATTTCTTCGATTGTATTGTGAATAAACTACTGAAAAATTGTTATTAAAAACTTGCTTATGTATTTGAAATCATCTCCGGTTGAATAAAAGCCATTGCACAATTAAATATCCCAACAAAAAAAGAAGTTTGACTGTGTTCATCACAACATTGTACATCATGTGATGAGCTAAACCATCTTAATATGATGAAGGTGTGTTAATGATTGACAAATTTTGACAATCACGTCTGTTGCAATCACAACATTGCGCGACCTTCCGATTGTTTGAGTTTGGACAACAAAAATAGCAACTGAAGACATCATTAATTTGGAAACAATTGATCATCACCCCACAATTGTAAATACCCTGTATATTATATATATTTTAATAAATTATATTAGGCACAACATCCTTGTCAATTATAGTCAACTTTGTGGCCAACATATAAACAAACACACTTTATTTCATAATTTTAATTGATCAGGGTCTAATCCCAATGCTCTGTGGTTAGTAGTCCATTTTCAATGTTTTATGATTAGCACAAAATCTATGAAAATAGGGTCGCCTGTCCAACCTCGTGGGTTTTCTCCGGGTCCTCCGGTTTCCTTTCACTGCTAAAGACCCCTACGCGCAAGCGAATTATTGAAATAAAATTGAACCATGTGTTAGTCCCGAAATGACCTAGTTTGTGTCGAGTGGAGGTTAAACCCCATTACTCTCTCTCTCTCGATTCCCCAGTTGTATGTGACAAGGAGTAGGGTCGCCTGTCCAACCTTGTGGGTTTTTTCCGGGTCCTCCGGTTTCCTCCCACTGCTAAAGATCCCTATGCGCAAGCACTTTATTGAAATAAAATAGAACCATATGTTAGTCCTGAAATGACCTAGTTTGTGTCAAGTGGACCTTAAACCCCATTTCTCTATCTCTCTCTCTCCAGACAAAAGGCTGGAAAAGGGTTGGCAAACCCTTCAATCAAATTTATATGAGAAGAATGTTAATTTAAATCATTGTAAGGTCAAGCTTACATATGTTTAGATAAAATATGATATTCCTAAAGAGAATATTATTAGAGAAAGAGATATATAGAGTCAAGCGATATATTGGATTATTGCAGTATCAAAAAATTATTGTCAGTCAAATTTACATATTCCGATATATTGATTTATAAAAGTTATTGTCCAGCTCTTATGCCTTAATACAGCTCCGTGGAGTATGGATTTATGAAGTATAAATTCTTATGTATGACCAATAAAAAAACAAGAATATTGTTAGAGGAATGGCGATAATCTAGAGTCAAATGATATATTGGATTATTGTGGTACATGTATTTTTAATGGTAAAAAAAATATTGTCAATAAAATTTACATTTTGCGATATATTGATTTACTGAAATTATTGTCCAGTCCTACGTAGATTCCATATAAGTTATACATGTATGTTCTAATATGCTAAGTTCTATAATGCATTTTTCTATAATGCAAAATGCAGAATGGAGAAGTATAAAAAATAACTTATATTGTATTTGTATTATTGAAAAGTGTATTCTATATTTTAACACTGTGACATTGGTATTGTAGAGCTATGAAAATTGCAAATTGTAAAACTAAAATACGTATATTTGAACTGTAAACATTGAAATAATATTTTGTAAACATAAGATTCAACAATTTTATATGTTTAGAGAGAACTTATTTAGGCCTTTGCTTGTTGTTCAATCCAATTCAGCTTATTGAATAAAATATTGTTTAAACTGAATAATATTTTCAACTTATTCTTCCATAATTTTCAAAACAATTTTAGACTAAGTATTATTGAAAACCCAAGCTCTGACCTACTTTCAACATTACCAAACACAACATACCATGTTAACATATAATATACTCTATGATTTATCTCAACTACTGTAGTGATGCTTACATTGTTCAATGACATTAGATATTATGGTGTCACTTCTTTGAGTCACTGTTAAGAATTAAGTGGGTATGATAGGTTTACCTCAATTAAAAACAAAGTCAAAGTAGTCTTACCACACAGTCTTTCTACAATTTCCTCCCACTTGCCAGCTCTAGGATTTCGTGGAATAAGTTTGTACATGATACTTGTAAAAATCCTTTTATAATTTTGTTGTAAGATCTGTCAAACAGCTTAATTAGTTTAAAAATTCTACTTATACTACATGTATATACCATAACATGGGATTAGGATTAAATTGTACACATACGTACACATAATAGGTAATTCTTGTCTCAATAGATTTTACTTTTTTTAGTTACAGTATTCAATTTATTTAGGATAAATCAACAAAGAAGAAAAGATGCCTATGCCCGTTCATGCTTTCAGAGGTGGTGCATCTGTCCTGCGGAAACATTGGAAACTCGTTGGTAAGACATTACATCAGTAGTTACATTAATTCAGATTTGGTCATATTTGAAATATAGATACATCTAACAAGGACAAAACTTGACAACTTATCTAGATACAAGGGCGATGCTCATGGTTTTACAACATGGGCATATATGCCAGTTGAGATTGTTTGTCTCAAACAGTTGAACAAATGTGCTTGAAACCCATGGGTTAATTAAAGAATGTAAGTCTAGCAAAGACTATAAACTATCAATCTGATTTGTATTCACAGGTTTAGGAGTTGGTGTATTATTGGCAACACAGATTTACAGGAAGTATAATCGTAAGAGAAGAATTCAACAAAGAAAGGATGAAGTTAAAAAGTCATGTGCCAGATTACGTCAACAGTTACAGAATGATGGAGTAAGATTGAATTTTGGTTTATTAATTAACTTATTTCATTCTTAGAGACGATAACCGTTAATATTGATAAGTCTGTGTTTGTATTAATTTTTTATACGCCCACATTTTCATGTGGACGTATATTGTCGTCGCTCCTGTCCATCCGTCCGCCCGTCCGTCCACAATTGTTTGTGAACAGTCTTCAGGTCACAATTTTTATCCGATTTCAATGAAACTTGAAATATAGGTTTATCACCCTAAGATCTCGGTTCCTTTCGATATTGGCATCTATCGGACCATAACGTCATTGATTATGGCCCCTGATTGTACGAAAAATCAAGTTTTTGGCTTGTGAACACTGTAAAGGTCACAATTTTTATCCGATTTTGTTGAAACTTGAAATGTAAGTTTATAACCCAAAGATCTCGGTTCCTGTTGATATTTGCGCATATCGGACCGTAACTTCCTGAATTATGGCCCCTGATTGTACGCAAAAACGCGTTTTTTGGCTTGTGGACCCTTTGGAGGTCATAATTTTTATCCGATCTAAAAAAAACGTATTATTATATCACCGTTAAACCCTAAGGACGGTTGAGTTCGAATTTCGTGAAAATCGGCCCAAAACTGACAGACAAAATGGCAAATGGCCGCCGTTCGTTCTCAAATAGCGTAAGAATATGGTATATCAAGGATTATGGACCCTATAGAGGTCACAATTTTTATCCGATTTTGTTGAAACTTGAAATGTAAGTTTATAACCCAAAGATCTCGGTTCCTTTCGATATTCGCGCATATCGGACCGGAACTTCCTGAATTATGGCCCATGATTGTAGGAAAAATCACTTTCGTTTTAGCTTGTTTTCTATCCATCTCTCGAAAATGTGGGCGTAGCCTGCCTGGCAGCCGCTGGTTGAAGAAATACTTGCAAGATTGAAGACTTGATGTTTATTTTGTCTTTACAATAAACTTTGGCAGGATTTTCAAATATAACTTTATATTACAGATAAATGAAGCAAAGAGTAAAGTAATAACAGATTTATCAATAACACAGTTACAAAGTAAACTTCAAAATGGAGAATTGAAAGCCATTGATGTATTAAGAGCCTATCAATATAAGGTATGGAATCTAGCTTTTCAAGCAGATATGTATTGACACATAACAGAATCTTGACATATCGGTTTTTTAATGGAATGACTTTTAGGGCAACTATTCTATTATGACGTAATAAAATGGAAAAATTTGGCTTGAAAATATTTCAACTTGATCCTTTACATAGACTATCACATGTAGCAAATGTGTTTTGGCAACTTTCTGGAAATGTCATGCAATACACATAAAAGAAGTGTTGGGAACTAGAATTTGATGAATAGTAGGCAGAATTTGCATGCTGTATGCCCAGATGGTGCAGAAAGGTTTGACGCTAAACTCCATTTCATTTTATTCCATTTCTGTAGAATAAACATTCCTGTCTGGAAATAACTGGTCGGACACGGATAAAATCCCGTCAAATTCCACGAAACTTCCAAATGTTCTGTCATTTTGTCGTAGGAAAAATTTATCTGCAGATTTTTGGCCATTTTCAGAAAATAAATGTACGGTAGACTGCTACCTTTCGTGAATTTCTAACTTTACTTGCTGTCGTACGTGTAGCTCTATATTCTCTAACTTGCATGTCACAACCCACAATCGGAAAATGGACATAAAAGTCTATTAATCAATAGTATTACTTTTTTGTCCCCCGCCTTTCGAAGAAAGCAGGGGACTATTAAAATGGGTTCGTCCGTCTGTCTGTCCGTCTGTCTATCCGTCACACTTTTTGGGACACAATAACTCTCTTCCTAATTGAGCTAGAATGTTCAAACTTGGTGTATGTGTTTATTAGGTCAATGCCTTGATGGAGTTCGAAGATGAGCATTTTCCGCTTAGGGTAAGCAGAGATAAGCAATTTGATTGGTTGATGCTTTGGGACACGATAACTCTCTTCCTAATTGGGCTAGAATGTTCAAACTTGGTGTATGTGTTGATTAGGTCAATGCCTTGATGGAGTTCGAAGATGAGCATTTTCCGCTTAGGGTAAGCAGAGATAAGCAATTTGATTGGTTGATGCTTTGGGACACGATAACTTTTAATTGAGCTAGAATGTTCAAACTTGGTGTATGTGTTTATTAGGTCAATGCCTTGATGGAGTTCGAAGATGAGCATTTTCCGCTTAGGGTAAGCAGAGATAAGCAATTTGATTGGTTGATACTTTGGGGCACGATAACTCTCTTCCTAATTGAGCTAGAATGTTCAAACTTGGTGTATGTGTTGATTAGGTCAATGCCTTGATGGAGTTCGAAGATGAGCATTTTCCGCTTAGGGTAAGCAGAGATAAGCAATTTGATTGGTTGATGCTTTGGGACACGATAACTTTAGTTCTAATTAAGTGAGATTGATGAAACTTGGTGTATAGTTTCATTACAGTAATACCTTGACTAAGTTTGATAATGAGCATTTTCTGCTCAGGGTAAGCAGAGCGATACGCAATTTGATTGGTCGAGACTTTGGAAAACAATAACTCTCCTACTTTGATTGTCCCCCGCCTTTCGAAGAAAGCAGGGAACTATTAAAATGGGTTCGTCCGTCTGTCTGTTTGTCTGTCTGTCCGTTCCGCTTATTTGTGATAAATTTATATGTGTCCTCTAATTATTTTCCTATTTCGGCGGGGGACATCAGCCTCACTGTTGGCTTGTTAACCTAACTATTCTAACAAGGTCATAACCAGAAAAAAACTATGTGAAACCAAATATTGACAGGGTCATGCTCGATGGGCAATCAAATATTTTTGATATCGTGGTTCAACCCAATGAGTGAAGGTACAACAATGTCTCGAAGACGGGTGTAGTAAATTTATCATAGGTGCCGAATACTGAAATTTACCGATTATTGTCACATATATTCAAGGGAATCTTACGAGATGAAATATATATTGTTGTGGAATTTATACGATGTCACGCTTCAGAGATTTGATATTTTCTCAATAAATCCAATGCTGATACGCATTAAGCAGTCGTCAGTCGAATGGTGTAATTCGGTTGTATGTATTTCAGCATAGAACCTTTTATTAAAAATTTTGATGAAACCTATTCCTGCATATTTACAAAAAAGGCTTCCTGTTAATTTCTTACATGTTCATAAATTGAAGTGAAATAATTATCCATACACCAGAAGTTCCTTATTATATTATTATTATTCCAATGTCGTATTTACGGCGTAGTAATCTCTGCATGTTTTCATGGTAACGTGTACATAGATTGAGTAGCCACTACAGTTTATACAGGGATTTATATTTTAGAATTTGCTATGTCAAAATAAAATGGGAGATTGGTCAAGATTCGTATCGTTTTCAACATTTATTAACTGCTGATCTAAATAATACTTTATTAATTAATAAGAAGATCGTATTTTCAACCCTTTATAGAAAAGGCAGGAAATTATCGCGCGATTAGGCCAACATTGTCAAAGACGGGAAGCTATATTATTGAATGATATGTGCCAATGAAATTAGGGATTTCTATTGTAACGAACAGTTAATAGCTCATAGTCTCGATCATCTTTTATTTAATCATACAACAAATAGTTACGATCTTAATGGGTACTGGCATGTATTTACCCCAAGTATCACGACATTCGCGGCAATTTAATGCTTAACATTTTTATATCAGTGACAAATCAAAACCTATTTCGTCGAAAAACCGAAAAGTAAGCAAAACTGGCCTGGCTCACTCGATGTGGATTGCAGCAAAAGATATCAGTCAACAGATCTTGATAGACATTGTGCCAACCCAAATGTCAGAATATTATGTCCGACTAAAAGTTTTAAATGTCCGGCACAATGTTTATCCAGCCTGACATGGTGTCAGACACACATTTGAAAGATATTTCAAGGCATGTAGACATTTGCCCCATGGAATCTACAAAGTTCTGATATACAATTTGTGTTTTACAGGCTCTTGAAGTAAATGATAAAACAAACTGTATAGTTGAACCAATAAAAGAAGCAGAGGTATTTATATGGTTAAAATCTAATGTTTTTTTCATTGCTTGATAAAGACTAGAGAAGCTATGTCAAAAGTAACATTGCTCAGTAATAAATAGTAATTGTATGATAAAGACTGGAGAAGTTTAGTCAAAAAGTTAATCAGTAAGAAACTGTAATTGTATTATATAGAATTGTGTCCTGTGTATTTTCAATTCAATTACTAAATACCATTGAAACTATTTAACAATAGTAATTATCCGATATTTCAACTGGTGTATTACTTCTTTGTTCAACTTGAAATAAGCCATCCAGTTGTAATTTGAGATAAGAGAATACAGTAGGTCTCAACCACCTTCATTCAAATCGCATTTCAATTTCTTGTCTTGCACAGTACCCTATTGCAGCCTGTTAAATTATGTACAACACATGTAAGCTTAAGATTAACAGATTATTATTGTCAAGTTTGATTCTTGTCTGTTTTTTTTTAGGTTTGGGCAAGAGAATTAGATAACCAAACTGGACCAAAAGGAAAACTACATGGTATCCCTATAAGTATTAAAGAATGCTACAGTATAAAGGTATGGTATATTTAAAGATTTGCCACTAGACTGTCATACATATGCATGGGGATACTGAATTGAACATTCCGGAATTAAATTCTCTCAATTCCAAAAATAGTGTCAACTGGGTGAAAAGGAGAATTTCGCAGTACAACACATGTGCCGACTGCATAAAAAATATCTCAACCAATCATGACAGCTGAAACATATTTGTTACTTAAAATACGTCACGATTCTACTCACACCACCCCAGTTGTCGGGACTGGCAGAACTGTGACAGGGCTGAATTCCATATCACTTGATTGCAATTCTGTCAATTTGGGACATTCCGAACTGACACTCAAGCACCCCCCCCCCCCCCTATATTGCCATGTAGTATCACTGCCTTCTGAAACATTATATAAAATCTGTATTTGCAGGGTTATTTTGTGACAGCTGGAATGAGTTATTTTCTAGATAAAGTTGTAGATGATGATGCAGTTTTAGTAAAGGTAAGTATTTTACATATACATGTATATATATTTAGTAATTAAAAATATCAGAAAAAAGCATACAGGTATTACTAAACAATTATATTGTTTTTACTTGTTGGCTCCAAGGATGGTTGTACATGACAAGAGTAGGGTCGCCTGCCCAACCTTGTGGGTTTTCTCCGGGTCCTCCGGTTTCCTCCTACTGTTAAAGACCCCAATGCGCAAGTGAATTATTGAAATAAAATTGAACCATGTGTTATTCCCGAAATGACCTAGTTTGTGTTGAATGGACGTTAAACCCCATTTCTCTCTCTCTCTGGCTCCAAGGATGGTAAGCCAATCCCAATTATAAATCATATTTTAACTATTCACATTTATTAACTCTGTGTAATTTTATCAGGTAATCAAAGCAGCTGGTGCTATTCCTTTTGTTAGAACAAATATACCACAAACAATGATGACGTAAGTTTAATTTATATAAGTTCATAAAGCATCATTACATTTTATTATCATAACTTTAAATTATTTCAAATATATTATCCACTTTCTACATGTACCAGTCTTTCTTTTAGAATTGTCTTTAAATATTAATAATGCTGACTATCTCATAAAATAGGGAACAATTAAGGAATTACACAAACTACAGGTTTCTAAATTCTAATAGTGAGTGCAGTGGGACTGCACCACACATAATCACACAAAACAAATCTATGGACAAGACACAATACGCAGATATCACAGACAAACATATACATATCAGATTCAATGAATGGATCCAGGGGATAGCTGTAAGGGAGATAACTCATTTAGGACCGAAATCTAGAGATTTCCTGATGAAATTGTTATAAATTCAAAACTACCATGACCTCATATTTTAATCAGTATCTAGCCAATTTTCAATGTTTACACCATTGATGTCAATGTTAGATTCCTCAAGTTCCACCAGCTGTATCAGATTTGCATAATTTCATTGCAAACAGTGGTTTTATCGCATTACTGTGACTGGACGGCTACAGTTTGCTTATAGTCTTAGATGGGAATGAATCAGAGTTTTGTGTCACAGTCATCCATAGTCTTGTCACTTTAAACTCCGGATTTCACTATGGGATTTCCATTATGCCGCAGATATTTCCCTTTGACTTCCATACCTGTAAAGTACCTTGTCTATTATGTCTGGTTTAAAAGGTGCAAAGATTGCCTGTATACTAATACTATTCAATTATTTCTAAGCTTATGACACTTTTTGTTAACAGGTTTGAGTGCTCAAATCCATTGTATGGAATTACTACAAATCCCCATGATTCTACCAGATCTCCAGGTGGTTCTAGTGGTGGTGAAGGAGCACTTATTGGGGGAGGAGGTTCTCTTTTAGGTATCGGAGGCGACATTGGTGGTAGTATTCGGATACCATGTCATATGTGTGGCATTGTAGGATTAAAGCCAACAGAACAGAGATTAAGGTTTGTTATTGCCCTTAATCACTTTGTATAACCTATTTGCTCTAATTTATGTGAATTATTCAAATTATTGACATAAAGATGCTAATAATTTCTGTTTATATCTTCAAGAGTATATGCAGGGCTCTATAAAAGTTGAGTGTGCCTGCGCACACACTTGAAAATGTGCCTGCAGGGTCATACTGAAACACAGGGATGTAGCCATGATTTGGTGAGTGTTGTAAAAATATATGTGGCGAGCAGAGCGAGTCCAAAAATTTTTTTGGGAGGGGGGCGTGGTCTTTTATGAAAATTAAACCCTTCTTTGTGTATTTTCAGAGCATCTGCTGCCTTTTGTATTTGGTTCAGTGCAAATCAAATTTCCATTTATATATTCAAATTTTACCAAATTCACTTAATTTTCATCAATGATACAGGGATCTAAAAACTTTTTGACACCACCCGACTGAGCATAAAATTGTCCCGCCCCACTCTGTTTCTCTGGATAGATAAGTTGAGGACCTTTCGGTATTTGTTGTTTTGGGGTTTTTTAATTTTCATCAATGATACAGGGATCTAAAAACTTTTTGACACCACCCGACTGAGCATAAAATTGTCCCGCCCCACTCTGTTTCTCTGGATAGATAAGTTGAGGACCTTTCGGTATTTGTTGTTTTGTTGGGGTTTTTTTTTCAAATATTACTTTATTACTTTTATTTGAGTACAACGATCTATGACAACAGGTAGATATTGATAATTAAAACACGTTGTATTATTTGACTTGTTTGTAAAGTTGTTGTACGTGTCTCACGAATATTATTATTATTACGGTGGAATGAGAATCAGGTCAGACAGAAACTGAGAAAGCTCTCATCGTCCTCCTAGTCCTACTCTCGGGCCGTAGCAAATCCACGGTCAACACGAGTAAGAAATAAGATAAGAAACGTGAAAATTTGCAGGCACTTGTTGGACAATTACGACATTCAAACCTTTAACATCGGAGTGCCGTAAATTGGTCTGGGTGACCTATTTACGGCATATAAACAAATATAAAGACCGTAGAATAATTGTAAAATGAATAGACCTAGGCCTACACATCTTCTAAGTCTAAATAAACAAAATACCAATACATCTTTCTTTAAACTAATTTGGGATGATAGGGTCTACTACGGCACACCAAAATAAATTATGCCGTGTCAGACATGGTTTACGTACGTACGTACGTCAGCTTTTACCATGGCTTTGCCGTTTTTGCCGTGGTAAATTTCGAGCGCCGAGTTTGTGTACAGAGAAGGACGAAGGGGTTTAAATACGACTGGGCGGCTTTCTTCGATTTTTTCTTTGTGCTGGGCGGCAAAAAATGGTGCCGGGCGCAGGCACCGCCCGGCGTGGCTACATCTTTAAAAATGTGCCTGCAAAAATTTTTTTGAAATGATTGTGCCTGCGCACGCCGTGCGCATGTGCGCGGAATTATCGATGCCTGAGTATATGGCTCTTGTTTAATTTGCAGAATGTTTTGAATGCTCTAGCAATCAGCATGAAATTTATTTGCATTGTCCATATAGTAATTTGAAGAAGCCATGTGGATTTCAACAATAAATCATCTTCCCTGAAAAAGTTAGTATATTTACTGACGAAATGTTGGATAAAACCATGGGTTTTTGATATTGTATTCTATTAATTATTTTAATATGGAATGCATCATTTTGACATAGTCAAAATTTATCCCATCAAACCGTCTGTAATATTTTTGTATTACCTGTTTCAATTCATGGGAAGTTTCTCACATTTATTTATAGTCATTTTTTTGTCACCCATGTCCGTTTGTCGGTTGATCCGTCCTCCTAAAAGAGACAGTAGTTTTAACTGATTTTATTGATAATTGGTGGGAAGCATTAGGTTCATGAGAAAACTACCTGTATCGAATTGACCCTTTGTTATAACTATTCCCCCTCGTAAACGCTAGAGAAAGAACCATATCGATTTTCAGTGCTCTGCAACTTAATTGTCAAGATCCTTGGTTAAACAGATAAGGATAATGATGCCTGGTTGAGCCAACTTTTCAAACTTGCACACGTGATGATAATACCGCAAAAGTCAATGTTGGATTTAAATATGAAAATAATATATTTGCCAATTTCTCGACAGACACAACTGAATTATAGGATTGTTCTTTAACAAGGTAGGACTGTTTGTATAGATGCCATGTAAGAGATTTTTGTGTAGGATAAAGAATGAGACTGAGGTTATGCTGGGGAAAGTCTTTCTTCCCCAGCATAACCGAAGTGGAGGACTTTATCTTGCTTATAAACCGTCTTTGTTTACATGTACAGTGTTTACATGTACCCAAAATGAGAATATCCCAGAATACTTGTAAGAAAAACCTTATATCATGTTTTCTTATGGGGAAAAAAACACTACCCAGGAAGAATAACCCGTTAAGGGCTTAGAGAAAGACTTTCAGAAGAATAACCCCAAATTCTCCTGTATATATCCAAAGCCGCTCCTGACTTTCAGACGGCAAGTTATTCCGGGCATTGAATATACCCCAAAATCAAAGAGATTTACTGTTACAGGTTTATAATGATCGGTTCTAGATCCTTACTAAATTTGGTCATCTCTTAAGTTTCAGGTTTTACCGTTACAGGTTTATATTGATGGGTCCTAGATCCTTTCAAATAATCTGTTGTTGAGACATAGCTGCTGCATAGGTGTATTCCCACCCTTTGGCTGTATTTTAAAATACAGTCTTGTCAAGTTTGTTCCTTGAGGAATATTAAATTACCTGTGAATTATTAATTTTATCTTTTATCACCAACCGTATCACCCATCTGTTTTACTGTCATTAAGGAGTTAATCCATCAACGGCTTGGATTTTGGATTTAAACAGTGCAACACCAATATTGGCAAATTTATTATATTTAAAAAAGTAATGTAGCGGGTTCACTCCATTACTTTCATGTGTATGAATTACATCTTTTGTTTTGTAGTTTAAATGGATCACTTTCGATAAATACTGGACAAACTCATGGTAAGCCATCTAATTTTTATTTCAGATGGTGTGTAGAGAGATTTTCTACGTATGAGCAACATCACTTGACAAACTCAATCTGATTAAAATACAGATCTATATTTCATCTCGTTTTTATACGCCCACATGAAAATGTGGTCGTATATTGCCGTTGGTCCATCTGTCGGTCCGTCTGTCTGTCCATCGTCCACAATTTCTTGTGAACACTCTACAGACTACATTTATCATATGATTGTTTTGAAATTCATATATGTTGTTTGCTTTAGTGAGATAAAGAAGCCTATTCAATTTCAAGAACTTCCGTTAATTTCTTCTGGAGTTATGGCCCTTGTTTTACTTTGTTGCACCTTATGAACGCTCTAACGACAAAAGTTATCAACCGATCTGTATGAAATTTATATGCATCATTTAAATTAGTAAAACAAAGAAGCCTATTGAATTTCAGCAATTTTCGTTAATTACATCTAGAGTTCTGGCCCTTGTGAACACTCTAATGACAACAGTTATCATCCGATCTGTTTGAAATTGATATGCATCATTTAAATTAGTGAAATGAAGAAGGCTATTGAATTTCAGCAATTTCCGTTAATTATGCGTGAGTTATGGCCCTTGTTTCACTTTATTGTACCTTGTGAATGCTCTAGCGACAAAAGTTATTATCCGATCTGTATGAAATTTATATGCATCATTTAAATTAGTAAAACAAAGAAGCCTATTGAATTTCATCAATTTCCGTTAATTACATTAGGAGTTATGGCCTTGTTTCACTTTGTTGAATCTTGTGAACGCTCTAATGACAACAGTTATCATCTGATCTGTTTGGATTTGATATCCGACATTTAAATTAGTGCAACGAAGAAGCCTAATGAATTTCAGCAATTTCCGTCAATTACTTCTAGAGTTATGGCTCTTGTTTCACTTTGTTGTACCTTGTGAATGCTCTACTGACAAAAATGATTATCCGATCTGTATGAAATTTATATGTATCGTTTAAATTAGTAAAACGAACAAGCCTATTGAGTTTTAGCAAATTTCCGTTAATTACATCTAGAGTTATGGCCCTTGTTTAACTTTGTTGAATCTTGTGAACGCTTGAATGACAAATGTTGTCACCTAATCTGTATGAAATTATATGCATCATTTAAATTAGTGAAATGAAGAAGCCTATTGAATGTTAGAGTTATGGCCCTTGTTTTACTTTGTTGAACCTTGTGAACGTTAGAAAGACTAAAGTTATCATCCGATCTGTATGAAATTTATATGCATTATTTGAATTAGTAAAACGAAAAGCCTGTCGAATTTCAACAATTTCTGTAGATTACTTCCAGAGTTATGGCCCTTGTTTTAGTTTTTAGAACCTTGTGAACCCTCAAACGATGAAAATTATAATGTCATCTGTATGAAATTGTCTATTAAATTCCCATAATTACCTACAAAAGAAAATATATGCGACAATCCTTGTCGACTGCTCGGACGATTTAGCTGCTGTGGGCATATGTTTTGTTGCCTGGCAACCTATCTTTTTGTCCCCCGCCTTTCGAAGAAAGCAGGGGACTATTAAAATGGGTTCGTCCGTCTGTCTGTCCGTCTGTCTGTCCGTCACACTTTTTGGGACACAATAACTCTGTGTATGTGTTTATTAGGTCAATGCCTTGATGGAGTTCGAAGATGAGCATTTTCCGCTTAGGGTAAGCAGAGATAAGCAATTTGATTGGTTGATGCTTTGGGACACGATAACTCTCTTCCTAATTGGGCTAGAATGTTCAAACTTGGTGTATGTGTTGATTAGGTCAATGCCTTGATGGAGTTCGAAGATGAGCATTTTCCGCTTAGGGTAAGCAGAGATAAGCAATTTGATTGGTTGATGCTTTGGGACACGATAACTTTTAATTGAGCTAGAATGTTCAAACTTGGTGTATGTGTTTATTAGGTCAATGCCTTGATGGAGTTCGAAGATGAGCATTTTCCGCTTAGGGTAAGCAGAGATAAGCAATTTGATTGGTTGATACTTTGGGGCACGATAACTCTCTTCCTAATTGAGCTAGAATGTTCAAACTTGGTGTATGTGTTGATTAGGTCAATGCCTTGATGGAGTTCGAAGATGAGCATTTTCCGCTTAGGGTAAGCAGAGATAAGCAATTTGATTGGTTGATGCTTTGGGACCTGATAACTTTAGTTCTAATTAAAAGGGAGAGTGAGGACACTTGGTGTATAGCTTTATTATATCAATACCTTGACTAAGTCTCGATAATGAGCATTTTCTGCTTAGGGTAAGCAGAGCGATAAGCAATTTGATTGGCCGAGACTTTGGAACACATTAATTCCTTTTCTAATTGAGCTAGAATGTTCAAACTTGGTGTAGGTGTTTATTAGGTTAATGTCTTGATGGAGTTCAAAGATGAGCATTTTGTGCTTAGGTTAAGCAGAGATAAGCAATTTGATTGGTCGAGACTTTAGAACACAATAACTCTCATTCTAGTTGAGTTAGAATGTTCACACTTGGCATAGGTGGCTATTAGGTGAATGCCTTGATGGAGTGTGAAGATGAGAATTTTTTGCTTAGAGTAAGCAGGGATAAGCAATTTGATTGGTTGATGCTTTGGGACACGATAACTTTAGTTCTAATTAAGTGAGAGTGAGGACACTTGGTGTATAGCTTTATTATATCATTACCTTGACTAAGTTTGATAATGAGTATTTTCTGCTGTCATGTCATGGCTGAGTTCAATTATTAACATTGGTCGATGCTTTGGGACAAGATAACTTTGATTCTATCTGATAGAGAGTGCTGAAACTTAGTGTATAATTTGATTGCTCGATACTTTTGAAAAAAATAAATGTGAGATTAATTAATGTGTCATCTATTTATTTTGGGATTTCGGCGGGGGACATCAGCCTCACTGTTGGCTTGTTATAGTTTGTATGGTCTCTACTACATGAAGATCTGACTGGTTGTAGTGGGATGTCGCGTCCGGGGTCACAAGGTTGGCTTTTGTCCCTATGACGTTAGACATTAGATTAACCAATCAGTGTTTATCTTTCTAGTAGGATACCCACATTTCCATGAATCGCACGCCAAGATCTCACTACAACTGGCCGTTTCATTGGCTAATCCCTCACATCAACCAGAACATGGGTTATATAACAACACTTCCAGATCCTAGTATAGTAAAGACAAGTAAAATGAAATTTTGAACTAATAAAAACGAAACGAAATAGGATCTGTGTTTTAATCAGATTGTTGACAAACTGTTAAGCTGTCAAGAAGTAAAGATATTGTTTGACCTGTATAAACATGTTACCTGTTATGTGATTTTGTGTTGACGTTACTGTTAGAACTGGGTGCATTATCTTTTTTTTATTATTTTTTTCTGTGACAGTGAAGGGTTTGCCATTATTTTTTCCATTTTGGATTGCCTGTGCTGTTCTCTCTTTGTTGGGTACTTACATGTAGTGTACCACTATTAGATAATGATCTTAGATGGTTTTGTTTTTCTATTTAGTAAAACCATCTGGAGGTCCAATGGCTAATTCTGTAGATGGTGTTGTATTAGCCATGAAAGTGTTATTAGATGACACCCAATTTATACTGGATCCCTTTGTACCTCCACTAAAATTTAATACTCAGGTAGGTCTCCTTATACATTAAAACATAGATTGTCAGCAGGCAGTGAAACATTTGTCCTAATTTTAATGTTTTGGAGATAATTTGTCCAGATTCATGGCAAATTTGAAATAAAAATCTAACATACATATAGAACAATGACCAAATTGTTCAATAAGAGCAATAACTCAACAAATGGATGATGAAGTGATCAACATTACAACATGAAAAATAAAATAAGTTAAAAACCTTGACTTGAATTTCAACATGGTTCATGTCTATGAGACATGAGTCCTGGAACTTTGACAAATAGATCTGAAGAACTCTGACCTTTAGAGTAGTTACAAGGTTTTGATGGCATGGACAAAAAATTAATGCCTGTGATGTGACTGAACAGATACGGTCCATCTTTAACCCATTAAATTGGTTGAGAACTTAAAGATACATTATGGGAGATAAGATAAAGAGATGGCAGTTCTCGCTATAATAGTTAAAAACTAAATAGTGTAAAGGTAATTTGCTGAAAATTTCAGTCAAATTGATCCACGATGAGCCGAGAAAGAAGCGGGTGAAATTTTTGCATAGTCTCGGTCATCATTACTAAAATCATCAATATAAACAACATAGTCTCGATTATCCACTTTTTTTTATTTAATTATCAATGGCCGTTAGCGGCATATAGGAATCTAATCCAGCCATCATCGAAGGCTAGCCTTGACATCGAGAGTTTATTATGTTCTGGATAAGTTAATTAATGTCTAATTGATAATTTAGATAACATTTCAGGCCTAAAGAAAGACTTGCAATAGGCAGATTTAGCTCTTGCATAATGCATGTTTGTTGGGAATTAGTATAAGTATGGTAAGGTATGTTATAACCAATCATATGTCAGAAGGAAGTAGTCGAAATTGTCTCCATGTGAAACAGCGGAGGGCCAAAGTCAGGGATAATCATTAAAAGCAAACATTAGGCCAAAAAATAACTGTTTTTCAGGTATATGAAAGTAAGGTACCACTACGTATAGGATATTATACCGATAATGGTATCATTACACCAGTACCAGCCTGTGTTAGAGCTGTTCATGAAGCTAAACAAGCTTTAGAAAAACTTGGACATATAGTAAGTTATGTTACGTTTTTTATGAAACTAAATTCTGTTGAGCACAGAGGATGGAAGTTGAAATAGCAATTTAGATACTAGTACTCATTTCAGGATTGTAACTTACCAAAATTAAACATGGAAAAAAACACCTACCTTGTGCTATTGTCAATTACAACTCTTTTCTAAGCAATATGAATAACTAATAAACAAGTGATTAACTAGATGGTAGTCATCTGTAGGGTTGTATGAAAATGGTTATAATATGCATTTATATCAATTGCAATTGCATTGTATTAATTTGGTTATGCATAAATTCCTTCAAAAACATACTTTTATGGATAACAATTATTATGGTTTATTTCACAGCGACGTTTCAACAAGGTTTCACAAGTCGTTATCAAGCATATACACAAATAGATAAAAAATGAGAAAGATATGAATATATATATATATATTTTCATATCTTTCTCATTTTTAATCTATGAATATATATATATATATATTCATATCTTTCTCATTTTTTATCTATTTGTGTATATGCTTGATAACGACTTGTGAAACCTTGTTGAAATTCCTTGATTCGCAGAATGTAATTGCTCAAAGAAATCAATTTGAACCTCTGGATCAAAAAATCTTTTGAGCTTTGAAATGTCAAAGTACAAACCTTGTTTTCAAAAGATACTGCAAGAGAAACTAATTTTGATTTCAAAAGTGAATATTTGAATTCAGAAGTAAATATTTAAGGAGTTAACCATTGCACACTACAAATGTGATATTATTATCGATTAGTAATTATACATGAATGTGTTGATAAATTTCAGATGGTACCATTCTCTCCACCCGATGTCCACGCAGCTGTAGCTAGATATACAAGGACAGTGTTAGCTGAAAGGTGTGATGTAGCGGCTGGTCTTCTGTAAGTTGTCATTTAAAAAAAATAATTCAAGGTATCTTTGATTACAGTTGGGTTGTACTTTCTCTTTAACACTTTCACTGCTGAATATGTAAATCTCTGTTTTGACGTTATGTTGGTAATGATATAATGACGTTAAATATAACAAACCATTTTTTATTTTTGTGGCTCCGTCCGTTTGTCTGTCACACTTTTTGAGCTAGAATGTTCAAACTTGGTGTAGGTGTTTATTAGGTGAATGCCTTGGTGGAGTTCAATCTGATTAAAATACAGATCTATATTTCGTTTTGTTTTTTGTCCCCCGCCTTTCGAAGAAAGCAGGAGACTATTAAAATGGGTCTGTCCGTCCGTCCGTCACACTTTTTGGGACACAATAACTCTCCTTCTAATTGACCTAGAATTTTCAAACTTGGTGTAGGTGTTAATAAGGGTCAATGCCTTGATGGAGTTCGAAGATGAGCATTTCTGCTTAGGGTAAGCAGAGATAAGCAATTTGATTGATTGATGCTTTGGGACACGATAACTTTAGTTCTAATTAAGTGAGAGTGATGAAACTTGGTGTATAGTTTCATTACATCAATACCTTGACAAAGTTCAATAATGAACATTTTCTGCTCAAGGTAAGCAGAGGGATAAGCAATTTGATTGGCCGAGACTTTGGAACACAATAACTCTACTAATTGAGCTAGAATGTTCAACCTTGGTGTAGGTGTTTATGAGGTCAATGCCTTGATAGAGTGCGAAGATGAGTATTTTCTGCTGATGGTAAGTAGAGATAAGCAATTTGATTGGTTGATGCTTTGGGACACAGTGAACTTTAGTTCTAATTAAGTAAGAGTGATGAAACTTGGTGTATAGTTTCATTACATCAATACCTTGACTAAGTTCGATGATGGGAATTGTCTGCTTAGGCTAAGGAGCAATAAGCATTTTGATTGGTCAAGACTTTGGAACATAACAACTCTGCTTCTAATTGAGGTAGAATGTTTAAACTTGATGTAGATGTTCGTCTTGACTGAGTTCATTGATTAACATATCGAGCTAAAGCTAAGCAGAGATAAGCAATTTACTTAGTCGATGCTTTGGGACAAGATAACTTTGATTCTATCTGATAGAGAGTGATGAAACTTAGTGTTTAGTTGATAATCATTCTGATTGCTCGATACTTTTGAAAAAGATAAATGTGCAATTAATTAATATGTGTCATCTATTTATTTTTGGATTTCGACAGGGGACATCAGCCTCACTGGGGCTTGTTTACATAATAAATGGATGTGAATTGATTTGGTAATATAGATGCAAATATTATTTAATAAATATCTTCAATTGTTATATCATTACCAGCACAGTCCAGCATCTTGTTGATTAAAGATTTGCATCAATTGTGATATGTCTTTTTCTAATTTAAGTGCTGATGATGAGATAGATCGATCATATATGTTGATGTACCACACATATCAAACTCTTCCAACTATTCTTCGCATGTTTTTTGGTCTATTAATGAAGACTCAGGTAATCCATTTATAAAAAATGTCAAATTTATTTTGTCACCTAATTTGTATGCCAGAATGGAATCTCATTTAACAATTCAAACCAGTCAATTTATATAGTAGTTTTATTTCTTGCATATAAATTTAAAATAACTAGACCATTTTGATTTTGACGACAACTGAAAATGTCAATTTAACAAAAAAAAATTCATGTGATGATAAATTTGCAAAGTGTGGATCTGTCTATATTAAAGAAGTTAGGTCAACAGAAAGAGCCAGTTTTGAGATATAACTGATTTTGTTTTCAACAGTTTAAACCAATAACAAAACCAAAGTTACTGATCAAAACAACTTCCACTTAATATATCAAAACTAAAATAGATCTTTGTTACATCACTAATGGACCTTACACTTGATATCAAACCAATTGAACTCAAATAGTTTTAGCTCCTTTAAGAAACGTATAAAATAAATACTTATATATCTCCATAATAATGTTGTCTTGATTCACTGAAATATATCTGACTTCAGTTGTTTAATGACACTTTGACACTTTGTACAGATGGGCTTCTCCTGTTTTGGGACAGTTCCATTAATGTTTTTAGCAGTGTACATGTTTGCTTAATAGTGCTCCTACGGTTAGGACTTTTTGTTATTCGGATAAATGTAGCTATTAACCGGTTAGTAACCGTTTAACCGTTTGGTATCAATTTTCAACATAAAACAGACCTTGTCAGTAGGTGCGAGTCATTACTCGCGCAAACGCTATACTCGCCTAAAAAGGCATTACTCGCACAAAAATTTCGGGAAACTTTTCATAGAAATGTACAATTCTTTAATGAAAATTTAAACTATCGAAGGCCGTATACATATTTGTTTACCTGGTTAACTTGGTTCATTTGAACCATTTTTAATTCAATATCGACGATAATATACAAGACAATGCTCTGTTTCCCTTTGTATGTGACATATGACGATAAAATTATAATTACACAATGTTATTAAGAATAGAATAAAGTAAATTGGAAGGCGTCTATTGATTGGAAAATAAAGAAATAATTTCGGGCCTGCAAGTAGAATTTTTATGATTGGTTAATTTAACTAAAATCCAAAGTAGAATTCTCGTGAGAAATTACGAGATATGAAACATGTAGAATTTTGCAACAAATCTACTATCATGTCAGTTTCTAGCCTTTATGATTATATTTTGAATGGTGTTTACGTTTTTAAATAAATATTAAAAAAGGTAGAATATAGTTAGAAATGCCGAGAAGTATTTGGATTGGATTAACAATAGCAAAAGTCAGAACAAGGTCCGTTGACTTTGCCGTAAGACCACGACGTGTGCTATTAATTGTATTATTTTTTAGCAGTCGACATCGTAGGACGACAGTTACATTCTAAGATTTTCAAATACAAAAGGACAATGGACAACTTTTGTTATAAAGAGGAATATAATGGGACACAACTCTATGTAATGGGGGACATCTCCAAATAACCGCACCGTTCAATTCGAAGTGTTTAACCGTTCAATTCTAACCGTTTACGGTTATCCATCTAGCCGTAGGAGCCCTATTGCTTAATCAGTGTTATTCAAACAGCTGAATATTATGTCCTGTGTTCAATCTTGTTACTTTCATGTATACCAAAACATATCCTTCCATTATTTTTCAGGATAGTTTAGCTGGAGAGGTAGTTAGTCAAAGGCGAATTTGGTAAGTTTTCATTGATGTCGAAAATTATTTCTCAGTCATTTGGACATTAACTTGTTGTCCCCCCTTTCGAAGAAAGCAGGGTACTATTAAAATCGATTTGTCTGTCTCACTTTTTGGGACACGATAACTCTCCTTCTAATTGAGCTAGGATGTTCAAACTTGGTGTAGGTGTTTATTAGATGAATGTCTTGATAGAGTTTAAAGATGAGCATTGTCTGCTTAGGGTAAGCAGAGATAAACAATTTAATTATGCTTTGGGATATGATGGCTTTGATTCTAATTAAGTGAGAGTGATGAAACTTGGTGTATAGTTTCATTACATCAATACCTTGACTAAGTTCGATAATAAGCATTTTCTGCTCAGGGTAAACAGGGCAGTAAGCAGTTTGATTTGTCAAGACTTTGGAAGAAAATAACTCTCCTACTAATTGAGGTAGGATGTTCAAACTTGATAAAGGTGTTTATTAGGTGAATGCCTTTATGAAGTTCGACGACGAGCACTTTCTACTTAAGCTAAGCAGAGATAAGTAATTGATCGATGCTTTGGGACATGATAACTTTGGTTCTAATAAGTAAGAGTAATAAAACTTGGTGTATAATTTTATTACATCAAAATCTTAACTAAGTTCGATAGATTGGTCGAGACTTTGGAACACAATAACTCTCCTTCTAATTGAGGTATAATGTTCAAACTTGGTGTAGGTGTCTAATAGGTGCCTTAACAGAGTTCGATCAGGCGTATTTTCCACTAAGGCTATAAAGCAGAGATAAGCAATTTGATTGGTTGAGACTTTGTAACAGGATAATTTTGGTTCTGATTGTGTGAGACCAAAGAAACTCAGAATATAGATTCATCATTATATCAATGATTATTTGCGATAATGAGAATTTCTGCTTAGGCCAAGTAGTGATAAGCAATTTGATTTGTCAAGATTTTGGAACTTAACAACCCTGTTTTTAATTGAGGTAGAATGTTTAAACTTGGTGTTCCTTAGGTGAATATCTTGACTGAGTTCAATGATTATCATTTTTCGCTAACGCTAAGCAGAGCTAAGTAATTCATTTGTCAATGCTTTGGGACAAGATAACTTTGATTCTAACTGATGAAACTTAGTGTAAAGTTTCACTACCAGGTACTTCAAAACCTTGACTGCGTTTGATCTTGAACATTTTCTGCTTAGACTTAAGTATAGATAATCAGTTTGATTGCACAATACTTTTCAAAAAGATACATGTTCAATACTTAGTATGTGTCATCTATTTATTTTGGGATTTCGACAGGGGACATCAACCTCACTTAAGTTTGTAAGAAACAATTCACTAAGAATAGGTCTTCTCTATATGCTATAAAAAACAGTTAATTTCTTTCTCTTTTTTTTTGTGCTTGTTTTCAATAGGGCTATGCTTGATTGGTGGGATCTGTATGATGAAATAACAGTAAGTGTAGATTTAAAGGCTCAATACCATTCTTGTTGTAACTGAATAATATGTCCCAATCTTTATTCTGGTCAACAAATTGTACTATTTTAGAATATTTCAATTAATTGATGATACAAATTTCATCTTAACACACCTTATTTAAAAATTTTGAAAAATTCAACATAATAATTCAACATAATGGTTTGAAACGTCTAATGTAAACCTTTTCAAATGAAACTTCGATTTAAAAATATTTTTGAACCCTCTGGACAAGTAAAATAGGATGTAATGGATAATTTACACAACAGGTAGGACACTTAAACATCAAGTACTTAGATAGAGATATTATTTATTTTCTGGAGCTTTCAAGCCAGCAAGAGTGTTATTGTCCCTTTAAACATTATAAAGTTACTAAACATTTTGGCCATTATAGTTAATGAAAACTCAGCATTGCCGAACAACAGGGTATGCATTCATCACTGACAGCTTTGTTGTTTTAGCACATTTTTATTACTAATGGACCATTCTAAATGTTGATAGGCTTCTACAATTCAAGCAAATTGCATAAAATCCTCAAACATTCTGGATTCTGACTATGTACTCCGAATATCTGTTCAAGTATATATTAATGAAAAAATGTATTTGTAACAGGCGTACAAAAGTAAATTCATTCAACACTGGAGAGACATGAATCTGGATGCTGTTATCAGTCCTGGCTTTGCTTGTCCTGCTTTACCAACTTTTAAAAGCCTAGAGGTTTCTAGTAAGTAACGTTTTATTTTTGTCAACTCTGTGGTAAACATTGCAATTATCACATTATAAATTTTGCCTGAGAAAGAGTAAATCAAAGCTCTGAAATGGTACATCTTCAAAATGAATTAGACTGTGTGTTGGTTGTTAAATATAGATATCTATAAGTTTGTCTGACTTACTAATACTAGGAATATTGATAACTCTTAGCAGTAGAGGTATATTATGATTTACTGAATGTAATAAAATTAGTTTTAGATCTTCACATAACTTTAATAATGAGAATTTTCAGCTCATGTTAATCATAGTCATATGCAATTTGATTGCTTGATGGTTTATAAACAGATGAATGTGCAATTAATTAATAAGTGTCAATTATTTGTTTCAAGATTAAGGTAGGGGACATCAGTCTTACTATTGTTTTTGTCCCCCGCCTTTCGAAGAAAGCAGGGGACTATTAAAATGGGTTTGTCTGTCTGTCCGTTCGTCTGTCTGTCACACTTTTTGGGACACAATAACTCTCTTTCTAATTGAGCTATAATGTTCAAACTTGGTGTAGGTGTTTATTAGGTCAATGCCTTGATAGAGTTCGAAGATGAGCATTTTCTGCTTAAGGTAAGCAGAGATAAGCAATTTGATTGGTTGATGCTTTGGGACAAGATAACTTGAGTTCTATTTAAGTGAGAGTGATGAAACTTGGTGTATAGTTTCATTACTTCAATCAATACCTTGACTAAGTTCGATAATGAGCATTTTCTGCTCAGGGTAAGCAGAACGATAAGCAATTTGATTGGCCAAGACTTTGGAACACAATAACTCTCCTTCTAATTGAGCTAGAATTTTTTAAACTTGGTGTAGGTGTTTATTAAGTCAATGCCTTGATGGAGTTAGAAGATGGGCATTTTCTGTTTGGGGTAAACAAAGATAAGCAATTTGATTGGTTGATGCTTTGGGACATGATAACTTAATTATAATTAAGTGAGTGTGATGAAACTTGGTGTATAGTTTCACTACATCAATACCTTGACTAAGTTTGATAATGAACATTTTCTGCTGAGGGTAAGCAGAGAGATAAGCAGTTTGATTGGTCGAGACTTTGGAACACAATAACTCCCTTTCTAATTGAGGTAGAATGTTCAATCTTGGTGCAGGCGTTCATTAGGTGAATGCCTTGATGGAGTTCGATGATGAACATTATCTGCTTATGGTAAGCAGAGATAAGCAATCTGATGCTTTGGGGCACGATAACTTTGGTATAATGAAGTGAGAGCAATAAAACTCTGAAGATACATTTATTATATCATTACCTTGACTAAGTTTGATGGTGCAAATTTTCTTGGTCAAGACTTTGGAACATAACAACTCTGCTTTTAATTGAGGTAGAATGTTTAAACTTGATGAAGATGTTCATTGGGTGAATGTCTTGACTGAGTTCAATGATTAACATTTTGAGCTAAAGCTAGGCAGAGCTAAGCAATTTCTTTGGTCGATACTTTGTTGGGACAAGATAATCTTGATTCTATCTGATAGAGAGTGATGAAACTTGTGTATAGATTGATTGCTCGATACTTTTGAAAAAGATAAATGTGCGATTAATTAATGTGTGTCATCTATTTATTTTGGGATTTCAGCGGGGGACATCAGCCTCACTGTTGGCTTATTTTCTAATAGATGACATGAGGAGAGCTCTTGATTCACAGTGTCACTTTTTGTAATAAGTTTGATAGAATTTTTGCTCTATAAATTAATGATAGCATTATATTATATCTTTAAATAATTATTGGGTCCATATACATGTATTGTAGAGAAGTCAGATCTAATACACTCAAATGAATGATTGATAAGTTGATACATAAAATCAGCTATAATTTGGTTAACATTTTAATTTTGGGTTAATAACAAAATAACACGTCTGACACTCCTGGTGGTAAGTTTTCACTGTCTATATAAGGGTGCTTTTCGACATCATTAGGCTTAATGACCAGTCATTATAATTAATTGCGTCATATTTGACCAATTAGATAATTTACAGCCAAACCTCAAAGCTAGAAAACTATCACATCTCTGGGCAATCGCCAGACAGTCGCTAGATTCCAGAGGGAGAAGATGTAGTAATTTCTATCGACTGATTCCCAGCGAGTCTAGATGGAATGGGATTGAGAGAATGACTTTATTGTAACCTATGCTTGTATCTTATGTAACCAGTGCTTGATATAAAAAGTGTAAAAAGGAACTGTTGTCTTGTTGTTCCTGGTAAGACAAACGTCTTAATTAATGAGAAGATAGCCGTCTTAACAGTGGAGATAAAAAATATACACAAGTACACAAGTCCTAAGAAGAAAATAAGAAACAAATACAACCAGTGACAGTGTTACATTTTGTCTTAGTCTTCCCACCATATTTTTGTGACAATACACTCTCCACATGAGGTGAATGAAATATATAATAAATAGATAAACAATTATATTTCAGCTGTTTTATCATATACAGTACTGTGGAATTTACTTAATTTCCCTGCTGGTAGTGTTCCTGTTACCAAGGTTACTGAAAATGATCAAAAACAGTTAAATGATGCAGATTTTTATCCTGCAAAAAAAGCTTTTGAAAGAAAATTAAGAGAGGTAACCTAATTTGCAATCATAATTTGATGTGATATGAAATAAATTGTATTTCGTAAAAGCATCCATGGTGAGCAGTGTACAATAACATAGAATAATGTAGTATTGTTGGTGCATTTGCAAAAGAGCAATCACAAGGTTTAGAAATTTTTCAGGAGACAATAGACTTTATACTATGTTAATAATGTTTGAACATTAATCTATTATAATAGAACTCTTTATATGAGTAGTGTTAACTTTGTCTCAATCACATTTTGAAGTACTAAAAGATAACATTTTGAAACTATCAAAATTAACAGTACAAAGACGCAGAGAATAAGAAATGTGCACAGAGTGTCAAGGATTGACACAAATTTAATTGTCTAGATTATTATCTAAAGAAGACATTTCATCCTCTTTGTTGTTAAATTTAAATATGGAAAATGATTATTAGCTAACTGGTGCATTGAGGCTTTAAATTAAAACAATGCAAACATAAACTGGCTCGCAAAATGTTAAAGTTAGAGCCTTGATTATAAGTTATTCACTTCATCCTTAGTAATATTTATTTTCCCCCGCCTTTCGAAGAAAGCAGGGGACCATTAAAATGGGTCCGTCCGTCCGTCCGTCCGTCACACTTTTTGGGACACAATAACTCTCCTTTTAATTGAGCTAGAATGTTCAAACTTGGTGTGTGTGTTTATTAGGTCAATGCCTTGATGGAGTTCGAAGATGAGCATTTTCTGCTTAGAATAAGCAAAGATAAGCAATTTATTGGTTGATGCTTTAATTAAGTGAGAGTGATGAAACTTGGTGTATAGTTTCATTACATCAATATCTTGACTAAGTTCGATAATCTGCTCAGGTTAAGCAGAGCGATAAACAATTTGATTGGCCGAGACTTTGGAACACAATAACTCTCCTTCTAATTGAGCTATAAAGTTCAAACTTGATGTAGGTGTTTATTAGGTGAATGCCTTGATGGAGTTCGAAGATGAGCATTTTCTGCTTAGGGTAAGCAGAGATAAGCAATTTGATTAGTTGATGCTTTGGGACACGATAACTCTAGTTCTAATTAAGTAAGAGTGATGAAATTTGGTGTATAGTTTTATTACATCAATACCATGACTAAGTTTGATAATGAGCATTTTCTGCTCAGGGTAAGCGGAGCGATAAGCAATACCTTGACTAAGTTCGAAGATGAGCATTTTCTGCTTAGGGTAAGCAAAGATAAGCAATTTGATTGGTTGATACTTTGGAACGCAATAACTCTCCTTCTAATTGAGATAGAATGTTCAAACTTGGTGTAGGTGTTCATTAGGTGAATGCCTTGGTGGAGTTCGATGATAAACATTGTCTGCTTATGGTAAGCAGAGATAAACAATCTGATTGGTTGATGCTTTGGGGCACGATAACTTTTGTTTGAATTAAGTGAAAATGATGAAACTCTGAGTATATATTCATTATATCATTACCTTGACTAAGTTCGATGATGAGAATTTCCTACTTAGGCTAAGGACCGATAAACAGTTTGATTGGTCAAGACTTTGGAACATAACAACTCTGCTTTTAATTAAGGTAGAATGTTTAAAGTGAATGTCTTGACCGAGTTCAATGATTAACATTTTGAGCTAAAGCTAAGCAGAGCTAAGAAATTTCATTGGTCGATGCTTTGGGACAAGATAACTTTGATTCTATCCGATAGAGAGTGATGAAACTTAGTGCATAGTTGATAATCAGTTTGATTGCTTGATACTTTTGAAAAAAATAAATGTGCAATTAATTAATATGTGTCATCTATTTATTTTGGGATTTCAGTGGGGGACATCAATCAGCCTCACTGTTGGCTTGTTACATTTCATATAGTATATATCTTTAATTCTTCTTTTACAGTTTTGTCAAAATGGTGTGGGTCTACCAGTAAATGTTCAATGTATAGCTCTACCATATCAAGAAGAAGTTGTCCTCCGTCTTATGAAAGAAATTGAAACTAACACAAAATAGAAATTTTAACAGTACACTGTACATCGGTACAATTTATATTTAATAACATTTAACTAAACTAAATCAAGGTACTGAAGAATTTAGATAATAGGTCTAAAATTTTATAGATAACCAGCTTTGCAGGTTTGTATATAGAATGAATTATGAATGATCTGATTAAATGTAATAAGAAAGCATCTATTGAAACTCCACCTTATAGGCCTAAAATTTTAAAGATAACCAGCTTTGTAATTGCGTATAAAGATAGAATTATGAATGGCCTGATTAAATTAAATAAGGAAGTATCTGGTGAAACTCCACCTTGGTGATTTTAAAAACTGTTACAGAAAATGTGATAGAAACATAAAAGTACAACACAAAGTAATAATACCTATGTTTCTGGTTACTTGACCCCAAATATAGGGACGATCAAGGAGTAATACTGGATAGAAATAACTGAACTAGTAAATCAATCTTCTAATAACCTACAACGATACTTGCATTATGATTCTTTAGCCTTTGTCATATCATATTAAATATGGTAAAGAGTTTCTATTTATTTCCTAGCATTTCCAGCTCAATTTCTGAGTAAGATTCCTGGAATTAGTGCTGATTCAGACTGTTATAAATGCTCAAATTTCATTGCTGGAAATGTTCTGCATGCCAAGACTGAGAATGAGAAAAAATGTTTAATGTCGGCAGTTATGACTCAATTAAAAAGGTCGGTCAAGTAACCATAAACACTGGTATATTTTTTTTGTGGGGGGGGGGGGGGGGGCTAATTCATATTTATTATGTGGCCAAAATTGCATCAACCCATACCCTATTGTTATCTTCCATATTTTTAAATATCCAGGAATAGTTGTCACCCTCAAGGGCATTCACTGTTGCTCTTTACTCGGGCATTTATACAGATCATACCCTGTATAATTTCACGAGAACTGACAATGTCCCTTGATTGCTGCATTACTACTTCTTGATGGGAATTCAATATGACCTCCAGTTTTGTAGACTGGCAATCATGTGATACTTAGTACTGACTGTGGGGTATGTCTTGCTTGTCTCACATGAAACCCCTCAAAGACACAGTGTAATAATTTGAATATTATTAGGCATGTGATATAAATGACACCGAAAACTGTGTAGTAAGCTTTCATAGTACTCCATAATCAGGCTCTGGGGACTACACCAAACCACTAATGCTCCAATGTATGCCCCCCCCCCCACCCCCCCGAAAAAATCATGGTTCCGAGCCTGATAATAATATTATCAGTCTTGGACATAACAATTTTGTTTGTACCTGACAAAAATTCATCACTATTGAAGTTGCATGTAAAATTTGTACATTGGTACCAGACGTGTATATGTATAAAATATCAATACGAACAAAGAAGAAAGAAAAATATTCACAGGCTCCATAGGAGTCATACCTGACATTTTTAATGAACATTATGAATATTATTGTATGGTCAACTTTGAGATGACCTTTTTGATTATTATGTGCAATATGTTAATTACTCAAACAGTATGTTCCTCTATTTAAAAAACCATGCTTATAAAATTTATCCATTCAATTGATTTGAATATTTGTTCCTTTGAGGCCTTTTTTTGTGCTTGTAATTCATGTGATCTTACTGCACTTTAAACGTGCTCATAAGGGTTGTCATACATCCATTTTATTTTGTTTTATTTTATTTATGATGTTTATTGTAGACAGTTATGTCAGAGGGTGAAAAGGCATGAATGGCATTAATTTTAATTCTAAATTTGTTATATATTTTGTAATATTTTTTATTGTTCATGTCTTTGATCGTCATTTGAAGGCTTTTTACTGTCTTGCAAACAACAATATGTTTCAAAAATGGCCCAAAATGGTTCAAATCTGCTTAGTACTTGTCAACATTTGGCATCCTTTGCATAGGATATTGACTGGATATGGTAAAAAAATTAGAGGGCATCGCCTACAATCTTTTTAATGCAATTGCAGCCATGGGAATATGAATTTGTTTTCTTCATTCAATGTTAAAAAATCAATTTGAGAACATTTTAGCTTGGATGAAGCAGTGAAAAATTAGACGATCAGTGACTGTAAAGTTGTATTTCTTATTTTGAAATTCAATCATTCAAATGATTTTATTTTGGTCATGATGTTATTAACATATTTTAATGGTAATTCTAGACCAATAACAATTATACCAATTCACAGAATTACCACCAATTCGTTTGTTTTCTTGATAAAAGACAATAAACCGGTTTTGGTCATATCAGATTTGTGTTTTGATTCTCTCAGGGAGAGGGAAATGCAGTAATGTGCATTTTCATGGAGAGTTGTGAAAATTTATATTTCTTAAAAAAAACTTCGGAATTTAGAGCTAGGTATGAGGAAAAATTAAACGCAGGGCAACAAAATAATACCGGGTGACAAAAAAAATCCCAGTAATGTTCAAAAGTAATATTTAAAGGAGCTAAATCGCTATTCTTTGGTACCTCGAAATGGACACAAATGGGTCGTAATTCGCAACACATATAATAATGTATTATAAATGTATATAAACTGATCTACATTCAATTGCTTCAGTTTTTATACGCCCACATTGAAATGTGGTCGTATATTGTCGTCGCCCCCGTCCGTCCGGCGTCCACAATTGCTTGTGGATGCTCTAGAGGCCAAAGTTAATATCCGATTGACCTTAAATTTATACACAGTGTTTAAGGTCTTGCGACGAAGAAGCCTATTGATTTTCAGCGATTTCCGATAATTACTGTCAAAGTTATGGCACTTGATCACTTCAAAAAATCTTTTGGACGCTCTAGAAGCCAAAGTTAATATCCGATTGACCTTAAATTTATACACGGTGTTTAAGGTCATGAGACGAAGACGCCTATTGATTTTCAGCGATTTCTGATAATTACTGCCAGAGTTATGGCCCTTGATCACTTCAAAAAATCTTGTGGACGCTCTAGAGGCCAAAGTTAATATCCGATTGACCTTAAATTTATACACAGTGTTTAAGGTCATGAGACGAAGAATCCTATTGATTTTCAGCGATTTCCAATAATTTCTGATAATTACTTAATGAGTTGTTGCTCTTAATCAGATTTTAGTGTATTATAAATATTTCATTACCGAAAAAAGTAAGAAAATGCGACAACTCTTGTTGACTGCCCGGACGATTTAGCTGCTGTGGGCGTATGTTTCGTTGCCTGGCAACCTATCTTTACTGTAATTTCTAATCAGTAGTTATGTTCGGTGAAATCAATGGCAATCTTTGGCATCTGGTTATTCCAGTCTACGCCGGTAGTATCCTCCTATGCGATATGTTTACCCCCCTTCATTGAGTCGCTTCATTACAAATTGCGCTCAAAATCATTCTGGCACGCAATTTGTGTGCCAATTTTAAAATGTACATTTTGTCTTAAATATTAGATACCAGAAGCTCATCTTTTCATGGTAAGATAACAACATCAATAATTTGTGTTTGCAATGTCAAAGATTATGGACGATATTGAGTTAGCTACTTCCCTCCTTTAATAAAAAAGCCAAGAGTGAACTTTTTGCAATAATTCAGCAGAAACTCAATTGAAATATTTGTTTAATATGTTCCGCGAAATATGCCAGAAGTCTCAACCGAATGGCAATCTCTAGCGTCTGGTTATTCCAGATAAGAATATGGCGTCACCGTTTGGCATGACTTGTGGAAGATGTCTGGTCTCGTTCTTCAAGTTCCTTGTTACAAATAGCGCTGAAACGCATTATGGTACACGATGGTAAAATGTTTATTTTGTCTTAAATATTAGATATCAAAAGCCCATCTTTTCCCAGTAAGATCACAACATCATTGTTGATTTAAATTGACAAATAATTCGTGTTTTCAATGTCGAAGACTTTGAATGATATTGGGTTACTCATAAATTGGACAAAAGTTCACATTTTGTGTAAAAGGCAGAGGGTCACTGCACACCAAAATTGAACCCATTCAAGAACTAGTGATACTCGGTTTAAGTTTCATCTAAATCGGATAAAAATTGTGACCTCTACATAGTCCACAACCTGGCCACTCAATGCGTTTATACTATTTGTGTAAAGAGGATACCGGAGCGGCCATTTGACTGAAAGTTTTGGTTGGATTTTTTTTTAACGAAATTCGGGCTCGCCCATATTTATTATGTAAGGGTGATATATTTGAATGGGTTTGAAAATAAGATGAAAAAAATGGTGACCTCTAGCGGGCCCACAAGCTAAAAAACATGGTATTTCTTACAATCAGGGGTTATAATCCAGACAATATCCAAAGGAAACCAGACCTTTGGGATATATCAGATTGGATGAAAATTCATCCAACAACCTGGGTATTACATGCTTTTAAGGGTAGCGGAGATTTTGTCGGGCAGTTTCTTTCCGATTTTCACGAAATTTGCACTCAACCGTAATTATGGTGTAACGATGATATATTTGAACGGTTTTTGTACAATCAAATAAAAACTGTGAGCTCTAAAGTGATGATCCTATATGCGCCAATATCGAAACAAACCGAGATCTTTCGGTTTTAAACATACATTGTCAGTTTCATCAAAATCGTATATAAAGATTGTGACATCTAGCGTGTCCACAACCTTGGTATTATTATGCATATATACTATTCAAAAAAAGTAGGGGATATTTGATTTTTAAGTGTTATTAAAGTCACCTAATGAAACTGACGAAGAAACAAATGACAAAATGAAATGAAGTTCACATTCATCGATTTATTCCAAATGATCGTTAGACTAAGTAAGGCACAGACTGACCATTATAAGGGTAAAATGATACCCGGGGCCAAACAGCAAAGTTACCACAGCATCACAACCAAGTCAGTAACGGGTAAATCCTCCTCTGTTTGCCAAACAAGCATTGATCCGACGTGGCATACTCCTAATGAGACGTCTAAGGTCATTTTGGTCCAGATTGTCCCATTCCTGTTGCAACGCAGCAGCAAGTTCTTGGACATTGGCAGGACGTTGTTGACGTTGACGTAACCTCTGTCCAAGCATGTCCCAGACATGCTCGATGGGGGAGAGGTCGGGACTCAGTGCTGGCCAAGGTAATGTGGTGATGTTCTGTTGTTGGAGGTAACCTGTAACGATCCTGGCCCTGTGACATCTTGCGTTGTCATCCTGGAAGATGAAACGGCGGCCATGACGTCGTGCGAACGGCACAACATGGACTGCCAAGATGTTGTCCCGGTAGTACTGGCCTGTAACACGCCCTGCAACAACATGTAAAGCCGTTCTTCCAGCAACAGTGATGCCTCCCCACACCATAACAGAACCACCCCCAAATCGATCATATCTGATGACGTTAACGTCTTGGAAGCGCTCGTTTCGACGACGCCACACCCTCCTACGTCTGTCCAAACAAGCCAACAGTGAGGCTGATGTCCCCCGCCGAAATAGGAAAATAATTAGAGGACACATATAAATTTATCACAAATTATCTTTTACAAAGTATTGAACAATCAAACAGTATATCTTTACTTATAGTCTAAGCATACAATGTTTTTGATGGAATAATTATAGCATATTAAGGGGAAAACATGCTCTATGCCTACAGATCTAGAGTTTGGTTGTATCAACGGGTCTATTTTCCATCTTGCTGCAAGTTGTGCAAAGTTCACTGTTTTCTTTCTGTCATTAAATGTCAATTCATTATTGCATACTACATATTTAATTAATTTATAATAGTTTCTTTTTCAATTTGTTTTTTCCATTTATTTGTTTATTTACCTTGCCTATATTCATTGTATTGGATTGTATTGGAATTGCTCAATTGATGCTTTTATGAACCCATTTTAATAGTTCCCTGCTTTCTTCGAAAGGCGGGGGACAATCAAAGTAGGACAGTTATTGTTTTCCAAAGTCTCGACCAATCAAATTGCGTATCGCTCTGCTTACCCTGAGCAGAAAATGCTCATTATCAAACTTAGTCAAGGTATTACTGTAATGAAACTATACACCAAGTTTCATCAATCTCACTTAATTAGAACTAAAGTTATCGTGTCCCAAAGCATCAACCAATCAAATTGCTTATCTCTGCTTACCCTAAGCGGAAAATGCTCATCTTCGAACTCTATCAAGGCATTGACCTAATAAACACATACACCAAGTTTGAACATTCTAGCTCAATTAGGAAGAGAGTTATTGTGTCCCAAAAAGTGTGACGGACAGACAGACGGACAGACAGACAGACAGACAGACGGACGGACAGACAGACGGACAGACAGACAGACAGACAGACAGACGGACGAACCCATTTTAATAGTCCCCTGCTTTCTTCGAAAGGCGGGGGACAAAAATCAACAGTGAACCTTGACTCATCTGAAAACATCACATTGCTCCAGCGTCGATTATCCCAGTGTTGACGATCCCTACACCAACGACGTCTTGCCTGAATGTGATGATCTCTCAAACAAGGGATCACGCGAGGACGTCGGGCGCGAAGGTAACCCCTATGCAGTCGATTCCGAATCGTCTGGCCACTCACTCTCACACCAGTGTCTGTCTGAAGACGAGCGCTGATCTGATTTGCTGTGATGACACGATTTCTCAAGGCCAAGGTACGGATAAATCGATCCTGGGCTTCAGTTGTCGCCCTTGGTCGACCTGAGCGTGGTCTGTCCTGTACAGATTGTGTATCACGGTATCTGGACCATAGCCTGCTTATGACAGACTGAGAAACATTCATCGTCCGCGCCACAACCGCCTGTGTTGTGCCGATCTGTAGCATGCCAAGGGCACGTAACCTTTCATTTTGGGTAAGCCGACGCATATCAAAATTTGTTTTCTGGTCACTAAAACAATTAAACTGATGTTTCCACCCTGGAATTCAATGCCACAATGACTGTAACATTCAAAGTCAGAGTCGTGCAAATCTTGGGTTGGACCCCCATGATGATCCCAAGCATCACCTGCATTCCATTTGCATATTTTAGTATTATGCCCCCAAAATCAAATATCCCCTACTTTTTTTGAATAGTATATTTGTCAAGTTCAGTATCGCAGGAAACCACCATCGTAAGGGATTTAGAAAAGGAATAAAATTTCACTTCATTTGCTGAGTAATTTTATTAGCCGGAAATCGCTCAGAAAGTGTCTGACGATCTAAAAAAATAACCCTTTATACCATCCGAAGGACTAGCCACTGTCCCTGCCAGACACCCGTCCTGTAACAACGTCAACGACAAGGGAGGAAGAACCACACCGGAAGATATCGGTGAAATATAATTCTATGGGTTGTATAACATCGTCAGCTAGTATACACACTGACAAAACTAAGCTTTATAGTATTTCTGACATTATTAGTTCCGTCCCTGTGTTTTGGGGAGGCTGCCGTTGTTGTAAGGCAGGGGAAGTGTCTAGTCGTTCGGATCGGACGGAAACCCTTGGCAGCTGTAATTCGTAATAAAAGTAGATCGTGGCGCCGCTGTATGGACTAAATTGCCACCATGGCACATTGTACGGCCTAATTCCGTCTTCATTA